CTCCGCTCCGCGCCGGCCCGCGGCGCCTGCAGGTGCTCGCTGCGCGCTGCCCCCCGCGCCGCGGGGACCGGCCCGGCCGGGAAGTTTCCCGGCGGTGGGAAGGGAAAGGAAGGGAAGGAGGGAGGGAAGGTGGCAGCACTTACAGCCTGCGCTCCTGCGGCTGCAGCTGCCGGTGCATGGCCAGGGAGAAGCCGAAGAGGCTGCCGGGCTCGCCGTGCCGGCTGATCGCGTTGTCGGCGTCCAGGTTGAAGGCGCCGGCGAGGCACGGCAGGAGGGGCAGGCACAGGAGCAGCGCGGCCGCCATCTGCTCCGCCCGCCGACGGGACCTGCCGCTGCTGCTGCCGCTGCTACCGCCGCCGCCGCCGTTACCGCCGCTCCCCGCGCCGCGGCCGCCCGTTGTGCCGCGGCCCCGCCTCGCCCCGCCTCCCGCCTCGCCCCGCCAGGCAGCCCCGCCGCGGGGCGGGCGGCCGGGCCACAAGATGTCGCCTGGGTGCCCCCTGCCCGCGGGCACCGCGGCCCCTCGCCCACGCGGACGGGGCGGCGCCGCTTCCCCCACTCCTTGCCGCGGAGCCGTTAAACGGCCGCGCGGAGCCGTTAAACAGCCGCGCGGTGGCGGGACGGGCGGGGCAGCGCTGCGCAGGTAGCGCTAGTGGCGCAGGGCTGCAGGGAAGAGGCAGGGGCCCCGGGCACGTCCCCAGAGGGTCTTACAGCCCTTAGCCGCTTGGAAACAACAMGAGATAAGGCGGTAGGCAARGGCACATGGCCTCGCGCCTACCCCCCAAARGGGCCCCGCTAACTTTCAAGGCCACCTAGGAGACATTTCTATCCCCTGCACAACTAAGTTTTGTTCTGGCAGTCAGGATGAGACAAGTGAATGCATGTCTTTTAAACTCTTGCAAGTGTTAAAAAATCAGTGAAGTAATACCCCTTTTTTTTTCCCCCTTTTTTTTTCTTTCTTTTCCACTATTCTAAGACTCTAAGCTGCAGAAAAGGCAAGTCGGTCTTCACGAAAGCAAATCCTGTTTAAAAAAAAAAAAAAAAAAAGCAGCCATGGGGACACAGCACTCACATATCAACATTCCCAATAATTCATTTCTGGAGCAATACTGTGCTTCCATGGAGTTTATCCAGATTATTTTTTCCAGAGTAATTATTCTAGGATAACTCCCTGTATAGAGAAGCCTTTGGCTCAAGACCATCAAGAGAATCGAGAAAAATCACCAGAAAATGTGCATCCAGTGTGGGAACAAAAGGTTTTGTCAAAATAGGCTCCCAGATATTTCTTGCTAATGGGCRCCTTCCCTGCGTGCTGTTTGTGCCCCGCTCATTCAAAGGTTTAATCCAGGGCTCAGTCCCATCACACGCGCGGCCACAGCCGAAAGCTGCCCGCACATAAGCACTGCCCAGCAGTTTCACCAAAGGCCTAGCGAGAGGAAGGGCTCACGGCGGGAGAGCAGGGTCACTGCTAGCTGTGCACTGCGCAGCGGTTACCAAAGATGGGAAACGAGCCTTTTAAAACAGCATTGAGAGCTATATCGAAGTCTGAGTAGCTGGCCCTTCAGCAGCGTTTAAACTTGCATGCTTACAATACTCTTACAGTAACTATAGTTACTTTGAGCAATACTTGTGCTTGGTAACTTCCCTAAGGAGTCACAGAAGAACTTCCAGGCCATGTCCAGAACCCTTTGAATGAGTCTTCTCCTCCTTCCCTCCCCAGCTAGCATTGCCTAGACATGTTTTACCAGCTCGTTGTTATCCAGAGCCTTTGCTGAAGGCTGGGACTGAGCTTTCTCAACTCCAGATGCAGAAACAAGCATTCCAAAACATAGCTCTATTAAAACCTGTCTCCAGCAACCACAGCAGGAACAACAAAAATAGACCAAACACAGGGTGGGGCAGAACTGCACACAAACAGCTTGGAGTTACCTTGGATGGTCTCTCATCATTTTGTGCTATTTTAATTTGCCCTAGATGAGGAGGAGGGGAAAAAAAAAAAGTTTGGAAAATTCCCAATTTCCTTCCTTTGCTCTTCCTCAAAAAGAAAAAAAAAAAAGCGCTGTAGGTTATCTAAAACCAACACACACTTCAAGAGTTCCTCTCGTACCATCCCTGTATAAAGGGTGGCAAAGATTAGCTACTAGGACCTATTAAATTTGACCACTGTACTATACCCAACACAGTGGTGATTCTTAGAAAAGTATTAACCAGATCAAAGCGAAGTCTCTTTTCTGTATCAAATGCTTTGCTATAGCAGAGTTTTCAAGCTGTTTGCTCATTAATGGTATGTTGGTTCCCTGCCAAAGGGCTACAAGGTGTTTGCCTGCTGTGTCTGCACATTGAGCAAGCTTTAGTGCCAGTAATACTTTCCTCCTCCAGACAACTGTGTAGTTAATTAGCAAGGAAAAAAGTAATTTCTGGAAAATAGAAGAGGTGGGATGGAAAAMCTAGAGCTGGGCGAGACATTTTAAGCTTTCCCTAAAAGGAAGGCAAAGAACAATGCTTTACATTTCTGAACTTTTATCATTTATATGAGCAAAGTATCTTACGTGAAGAAATACACAACTTGTAGATACTCAGCTGTGTAGCTTTAAYGCAGCACATGAAATGATTCCAAAAAGTCAAAATATACAAACATTCCCTTCACATTTCACTTAAAAAAAAATCTTATCATTGATATAACTCCAGGTAAAATTTTGATATAGGCCAAAATACACTTGGTTCATTGTGCAAGTTCTAAAGCCATGAAGTTTGTTTCAGTTCAGAACCATAAACTACTTCTAAGCGTTATTAACCTGGATCAACCTTCTGAATGCTTTCTTCTCAATGCAAAACACATACCAGGCTTAGAACTGCTTGTTCTCCAAATTATTTACTTTTTTTTTTTTTTCTGAACGGATGCATCTCATGAGCTACATAAACAGCTGGACTGTTAGTCTTTCTTGCATCCAGGCTATTTGGCTATTTTTGCTAGAATTTCCTTTACTGATGCTTTTGGTTTTGATTTAGCAGCAATACCAGTACTAGCAAACACAGCAGCAGAGGTAATGTGCTTGATAACAAATAAGCAAAATGTTTTGCTTTGAACCAAAGTTTTTAAACAGTTATATTTACACAGTTACTGTTCTGAACTATACAGAACCAACTCTGATCATATTTATATCATTTGTAGATTAAACAAAGATTGTCTCATCTCACTCTACTATGCTTTCAAAAAGATTCCTAAACTTCAACTTTTGTAGTTGTTGCAATATTGTTTTAATCAAATAAATTTCAGTATCCAGTAAAGATATTGCTGTTTTTATAATTTATTCTTTTTCTCTTGAATATAGAAAATTGTAAATAATATTCTGCCATTCTTTAATGGTTTATCAAGTGAAAATATTGCCTTTTTAGATAAAATATTTAGAATTTGACATATTTCTGATCTGAAATAAAAAAGACTRCATGTCTGCACTTCTAAAATTTTGTGTCTTGGTTTTAGCATGTAAACATGKAAAATATTACATGTATAAAAATCTGTGATAAAAGAAAAACATCCAGACTCTGAGTTGTTCTGCATTCATACCCAGTTTTCCAGAATAGCAGTTTAAGTCTTTCATAATAAGAAAATATTTTTCCATGCAAGCTGTCTGGTACRTACCTTAAGTAGTTTTAGAATAACTAGCACAGATTGTTTGGAGAATAAATATCCTTGTAAACACGTTGGAGCAGGCGCTTTTTGTGAACATACCTATAGAAAAATGAGAAAAAAGGCAACTGAACATTAATACTTTGAATTACTCTAGAAATGATTAAGGATGTTTCTTCAAAATTTACTGAAGCATAAAACTGCAGTTGTTTTGGACATATACATACATATTCTAATTCATTGGTCACATACAGCTGTGTAATATCCCTCCAGTAAGGGCAGCCTAAACTTAAACTTACATCATAGGCACCTTAGGTGAGAGCACCCATTTTGGGGTGCTCTCAGCAAGACACTTATCCCCCAGCCTCTTGCATCACTGCAGGTGGGACTTCCAGGACTGCGTCCCTGACCCGCCTGTACCCCGCATGCCCCTGGATGCACAGCACTGTGCTGCACATAAAGCCTCGCCTGTGCCACTGTGCTTGTCCTTGCAAAAAGGGAGGCACAACCCAGTACCAGATGCAGCCTTTCAGGCTATTAATCCACATTAATCTCCCTTAGTATCTATGTAAACGTGGGCCTTGCAGCACATCTGGACCCCTGCTGCAGCTGGCCCTGCCCTCACAGTCAAAACACCTTCTTACCATCCTGGCGAGCCAGGGCTGCAGCGCTCTACCCTCTCTGTAAGGGAAACCTAGAGACTGAGAGTCAGCAGAGGTTACCCGCGTTAGGTAATGTGGCACAAGCTCCCCAAGATTAAATAAGGGGAGGAAGATCTGTCTTGGGTGGGTAACTGTGAGAAAACTGGSGAGAAAGAGAGAAGGCTTGCAAGCAAAATACGCAGATTCTCCCTGGAGACGCACTCCAGGAAATTAAGAAGATGAGCCTTCAAGGGGATATTTTAACTGATTATATTTAAATAGTTCCAGGGTTCTTGATTTTCATCGCCCGTGGCAATTTTAAACATCAGTACTAAGCCACTTCATTCACATGTGCCAGATAAACCACTGAGTCTGCCCTGAGTGAGCCTGGGCTGTATCAAGGCAGGTTCAAACACGGAGTTCAGACCATTGGGGGCAAAGCCAGCAAAGGTGYTTTCTCCAGCTAAGGCCTAGATCTAGCAGCCCCAGAAGCTTTCTGTTTTAGMTGCTTTCTCTATTTGCTCTACTTTATCTTTGCTAATAGAGGCCATAGGTTTTGTTTGCTTGTTTTGGTAAACATAAACCTAGCATATGTAWTCCTTTTTCTTTTTATATTGACATCCATATTTCGGGATTAAAAAAATGGACAAACTAGCCCTGAGTATCACAGTCATCCTTTGTACTTCCTTTGGAGAATCATTTGAAAATATTTTGTGAACACACATTTTTTTTTTTTAACAAAATGATCAACAAATCCAGTCTTCTGTTATATTCAGTCTCAAGAGTTTTTGCTGTTACCACTCACAGTAATGGCAATTTTAACTATGCCAAGGCTACAGATTAAAGACCCTAAAATCAAGCCTGTGAAAGCCCAGTCCTGTAGGGATCTCGAAAGCCCAGTCCTGTAGGGATCTCGGCTACTGCCTGTGTGCAAAAAAAAAAAAAGAGAGAGAAAGAAAGAAATAAAAAGCAGGTTGCTGGCACTCCCTCAACATGAATAGCAGTTACGCGGGGCCAGGACACACTGTAGTTCCCATAAAGCCCCTGCTGCTCAACGCA